GGGGGGGTTGGGGAGTTGCTGGAAAATTTCGGGATTTGTCGGTGACCTGAAAATTCTCGCTGAATGAGGTAATAACGAGTTTTTGTGCTGGTTTTGACTTGGAGACATTCGCGGGGCTGAAAAGAAGGGAGGAGGGAAGGAAGAAGTAGGGGGAAAGATGGTTTTTGTGCTTGAAGGGGTGGGATTCGCTGTTTCAGCTGATAAGCTTCGTTGAGGTCTGGGAAGAGTTGGTCTAAGAAGTAATGGATGGCCGCTGAAGAAATGGTATCCGTAGATCTGGTTCTGGAGGGAAGACGCCCGGGAATTTTGACATTTCAGGTGATTATTTCAGGACAAAAATGGCGTCAGGTGGTGATCAGCTTCTTGCCGTTACCGGGAAACGTACCACCGGACAATCGGTGCGTTCCCAAAATGGTATGTTTAATTATCACTTACTTTCCTTTTAGTTACAACCTCATAACTTCATAAAATATTGAAATTGCACTGGCTTGGTATGTCATTAAGTTCTCACGTGGTCTTTAACTACAGCAGCGGCGCACAGCGAATTGAGTGGCAGCACTTTATTCCCCAACAAAAAGCTTCACTTCAATAAAAAGAGCCGAGCCGAGGCGCCACACAAGCTATTCAGATGACGAGGGACGCTAGTCGTGCCGAAGCGGCCAGTTAGTAGCTTTAGTTGGAGCAAGACGTGGCAGACCAGTGACGCGCATTGAATCTGAGACTAATAGATTGGGATTTCTAAAAGGGGTTTATATAGGGAAAATCAGTGGAGGGAAAAGGAGGGCAAGATAGTTAGTAAGTCAGAAGGTAGGTAATATGAAATTATTTAGAATTTGGTGGAACTGTATTAGTGAGTGGAGGGAAGTAGGTGGATATGTCTTCCATGGTTTTTCAGAATAGAGAAAGATTTTCGATGTCCTGGGTGCAGGAGATTTTTGGGCTCCGAAAGAAGAGCTAAAGGGGTTTTTTGTTCAAATTTCAGTGATGGCGGCGCTAGCGATTGCTAATATTGTTAAGTCATCGCTTGGTCCGGTTGGCCTGGACAAGATGCTCGTCGATGACGTTGGCGTAAGTTGATTTTTTCCGCATAAAAGTGTTACAACTTACCCGTATCTCTTATATTCTTGCACAGCAAAGTACCACTGCACGGGCCGAAGACAGCTGCTGGCGTCTTCTTAGAGGAGAACAAGGCTCTGGGGTAATATGACGCGGTAAGCACGATGAAGCGACAGCATTTACGGTGAGGGAATTGTAATGGTAGGGGGCGGAGCGAAACGAGCCACTGTACCAGCAGGCTTGCTTATTTGGGAGATCGAAATGGCATTTCCACTGTTTTTTCATTAATTGTCAAAATTCGATTGTGTGCCTCGTCTCCACCGCGGTGCAGGGCCAACAGCGCCAAACAAACTGCGTATGTTAACACACATAGGCGTGATTCCAACCCTCCCCCCCCCCCTCCTTTTCGAATAGCTCCTAGCTGAGGGATATTCATTGTTTGTGTCTTTAAAATTTTTACAGCGCAGTATAAATGAGGAACTGGCACTGCGCATGAGGGTACAGCATCACACGGCATAAAAAATACGAAAAATTGCCGCACTGATATTAGTAATGACTGATTCAGAGGGTTTTCTTGGGATGAAATACTCTGAGCGGACAAAATGATAAAACTAACGCACGGTGCATGAGGCAGTACGCATGCTGGTTGAGTTAACAGGATTAGGTAAAATTAAAGAATACGCTAAGAAAACGGGGTAAGATTACCCGGACTGTCAATGTGTGGGTACTGCCATGTTAGTGATGGTGTTAGTGGGTAGATGATACTCGATAGATAGAGACATACGGGTAAAGTTGCCATTGGGTAGGGGAGTACGAGTAATGTTACCACTGGGTAGGGACCGGGCAATTCAGTGGATTTCAGTGTTTTTTGTGTTTTCCAGGATGTGATTGTAACAAACGACGGTGCAACAATTCTCAAGCAGATGGAAGTGGAACATCCGGCCGCTAAAGTTCTTGTCGAACTGGCCCAGTTACAGGATGAGGAGGTAATTCTCTGATGATACTATTCCAGCAGTTTGATCTAACAACATTTTCCGAAGATTTGGCTTTCTGGAAAACATGCCCAGTTTTTCTTAAATGTTTTTTTTAGCGTTTGCCGGACAAGTAATACATTTTTTTTTTGACTTTTGCATAAATTCGTTCTTCCTCTTTCTACTTTGCGTTCAAAGAGGAACACAGTCGAATAGATAGGAAACCGGAAGAGGATTTAATCTTGTTGAGTGGTAAGGAGGGGAAAGGGGGAGGGGGAACCACGCTGAAGGATCTTGGCATAGCTGCGCTTGGCTTGTGGAAGCATTCCCAGTAGCATTAATGTCCATTCCCAGGTTCAGCTAATCTTTGCAGCTATTATTTAAAGGTTGGTGATGGCACAACGACAGTGGTAATTGTTGCGGCCGAACTGCTTAAAGCGGCCGATGAACTGGTGAAGCAGCAAGTTCATCCAACCACCGTAATCAATGGGTATCGTTTGGCTTGCCGTGAAGCTGTGCGCTACATGCAGGTAAAGATCGAATTTTCCAATAGACTGCTGCGAAGATGGGCCTTTTTTTCGGATATCTTTGTTTGTTTTGTTGAGTTTTCAGGGGTTTTTTTTTGCATGGATAGTGCTTTTCAACTTTTTTTTCAGGAAAACCTGTCGTTTGGGTCGCAAGAGTTGGGTCGGCAATCGATCATTGGTATAGCAAAAACGGCGCTGTCCTCAAAAGTTATTGGACCGTAAGACTTCGTTTTGTTGTCATTTTAACCTAAGGCATCCGGAACTAATCCGAGTAGCAACAAACGCCGATAAAACCGATGCCCGCTGGCAAGGATATCGATGGTCCCCTTTTGGGTAAAGAACGAAGTACTGTTTTGAACAAAGGGTGCCGAAATTAGGATTTTTGCCATGTGTTCCCTGAAAACGACTGGTACTTATTGCGCTTGTCGTTAGAAGTTTGTGAGGTAGCCCAACTTTGTAGGTGGAGAAGGTTTGATTTTTTGTTTTCAGGGATGCCGATTTCTTCGGTGGGATGGTTGTTGAGGCAGCCGAATTGGTCAAAGTGACAAATATCCAAGGTAAAGTGATATATCCCATAAAG